GCCCTCCTCCAGTCCGCTGGGACCTCTCCTGTTTTCCAGGAATTCTCCTGTTTCCAGGAATCCAGGAATTCCAGGAATTCCAGGAAGGAATCCTCAGAGCTGGTTTTGTTGTCAGTTCCTTCCTCTGAAATAGAGCCTGTAACACCTAGTATAAATGGGCGGTCAGCCATCCAAATACTAACGAGAGCTAGCCCTGCTTAGCTTCCAAGATCAGACGGAATCTGGTGCCTTGTGCTTGCCTCTGTGGACATGCTTTCAAGCCACCTTTCAGCTTATGGTGACTCCATAAATTTTACAGGTTTTCTTAGGCAAGGAATCCTCAGAGATGGTTTTGCCATTCCCTCTGAAATATAACCTAGGGCACCTGGTATTCCCTGGCGGTTTCCCATCCAAATACTAACCAAGGATGATCCAGTTCAGGTCCCAAGATCAGTAAAAGTATAGTGTCTAGATCAAGGGAAATAATAGTGTCTCTCTATTCTGCTTTGGCCAGACCTCACCTGGAATAATCTTATGCCTATGTCTGGACCCCACAATTCAAGAATGATATTGACAACTGGAAAGGTGTCCAGAGGAGGGTGACCAAAATGGTCTGGGAAACCCCAAGCCCTCTGAGGAGAGATTTAGAGAGCTGGGTATGTTCAGCCTGGACAAGAGAATGTTAAGAGGGGATATGAAAGCCCTCTTTAAATATTTGTAAGGGTGTCATATCTAGGATGGAGCAAGCTTGTTTTCTGCAGCTCCAGAGAATAGGAGTCAATGGAGCAATGGATGGAAGCTATAGGAAAAGAGATTCCATCTCAACATGAGGAAAATATCCTGATAGTAAGAGCTGTTTGACAGTGAAAGACCTCCCTTGGAGAGTGGTGGAGTTTCCTTCTTTGGAAGTCTTTAAACAGAGGCTGGATGGCCATGATTGTGAGTTCCTGCATGGCAGTGGACTGGATAGACTCTGGGGGGTTCTTTTCCAACTCTAACATTCTACAATTAATTCTACAGTGTAGAGGCAGGAAAGCTTGTGTCATTCATTTTGGTTGGTCGAATAAAGGTACCCCTGTTTTGTGGATTTTGCATGCTATTGTAGGAAAGCTTACCCCATGCATTTGGTGCATTTTGGTTGGCCGAATAAAGGTATCCCTCTTGTGTAGATTTTGGACGTTATTCTAGGAAAGCTTGCATCATGTGTTTCGGTTGGTCGAACAAAGGCATCCCTCTTTTGTAGATTTTCGATGTTATTGTAGGCAAGCTTGGATCATGTATTTGGTGCATTTTGGTTGGCCGAATAAAGGTATCCCTCTTGTGTAGA